TTGCTGCTTGGCCTTAGACGGGTATGGAGATTTATTACACACTTCCACTGATTCGTCTTACAGCTTTATTAATACAAAAACCAAAAATGTCCTTGTATTCTTAACATCAACCTTTTTATACAATCTCATCTTCACTGCTGTAAGTTGGAAAGTTTCGACCAATGGTATTGCTACCCTTGATTTATGTGAGGATCCTGGCACCCTTCAACACTGGGTGTGTGTTGGACTTCCTTGAAAATATTCGGGACCTCTTGACCTCAACATCTGCTCCATTTCAGAATTGTCGAATAAGCCAATTCATCAGAGGTTGTTGTTTTTACCTGTCCAAACAGCATCCTTTCCAAGTCATATTTGGTCCAACTTTGTGCTTCGTACGCAAGGGAAGGGAGGGTGTCAGGTCAGCTTGACCCAAAGAGGTGCCAAGAATCCTTTCCAAAAAGAACTCCATAAATAGTATTTCCTCTCTTACACAGACAACCAGCCCATTTCCTTAGCACTTCCTTTTCATTTAATGAAAGTCTTAAGCAAACGCATAGTCTACTTTTAATTCTGACAAAAAGCAGACGCAGTCTACTCAAATATAAGAAGAACCATTTTGTGTTATTTTAAGTTATTCAAAAAGGAAGCAAAGTTTAAAGTGGAAAGCCATTGAATGAGGAAAATAGTTTAAAGCATTTAAAGACGTGGTGTAGTTTTTGCAGTAATTATACCAACTGACGGCTTTCCATGTTCATATTTGCTTAAAAAAACAGACTCATTTCAGCATGTTTTCCTAATAGAAAACTCTGAGTTTATTTGCTCATGGAACATGATAAGTTTAAAACTAAAGACAGAAATCATGCACTGTAAAAGAAATGTTGTAATTAACTCAAAATGAATCAGCTGTGATATTCAACGTGTTGGCGTGTGAATTAGAGACATTTAAAACATCATGTTATCTCTCCTACTAGACCGTGCAAGAAAGCCGGTAAAACTGTATCTGACTCACACTGTTAATAAAACACTGAACGAACATGAAACGACAGGACACATTACATGTTTCATTAGCGACATGTTTCCTTTACCTGTAGGCTTTTTGACTGGAACTATCTCCACTTCGGTCGTGGGCGCAGCCATGTTTGCTCACTTCCAAACAAGAAGCACGTGAGCGACAGAAAGGCCAATCTAATCGCTAGAGGAGGAAAGGCAAGATAAGACGAACACCGAACTCATCGATGGCACAGCGGCGGACCAGAATACAAGTTACGTTCTTCTTCTTCTACAGAGCACCTTCCATTTACGTCGAATCGTCTGATACGATATTTAGCTAGAACTGTTCGCCCTCACAAAACCGAAACACACACAAGAAAATGTTTCAGAAGGTAATAATGAAGGTAATTATTAAGTTTAGAAAACAAAAATAAAAGGGACATGAAACAAATAAACAAAGAAAGCAGCATGGCTTGCGATAGAAGTACAATAAAAAGATTGAAGCTGATATACTTTTGCCCAGGAATTTTTCAACTTTATTTAAAAATACAGCGAATTTGTATTCCGTTGTAATTGTTACGTAATACCCCCATTAAGGTAATTCTTCCTCCCTAACATTACCCTTAGTTTTGTTTCTGTTTTTTTTTTTAATTAACGATGTCCAACTCTTCCTCATCCCCCCTCCAAAAGAATACACGATCAGTTAGACGAAAAATCAAAGTGAAACATTAACCAACAAATACTAAATAAAATTATATACAGTAAACTATACATAAATTATTATTATTATTATTATTATTATTATTATTATTATTATTATTATTATTATTATTATTTTATATATATAATTTTTCTTTCCCCCATCTCAGATGTGTCAGGCGGACCTCCAGAGTCAGATAATATGCGTCCCAGGCTGGTGCAGACAGGGACACTTGGCAGTGAAGAGGGATGGAGCAGCGCGCTGCCCTGTGGAGGGGCTGAGGCGGTATCACTCTTTCCTTCCTCCCCTAGGCGCGCAGCGATCTGATCCATAGTTGGAGACCGACGAGAGATCTTCCCAGATAAGGTGTCAGAAATGTAAGCAGAGGTGAGAGCCGGGAGAAGGAGCGGGATCTTTTGAGAAAGGCGACGGAATCAAAGTCCACATCGATAGGGATGATTTCTGAGGAGTCATGAGCTCTGAAATCTGACATCAAAGGCGCAATGTGAATCCAAATAATTTATGATAATTACAGGTTCGGACGACTGTGATGCGATTTTGGATGAGAATACGGGGCATGGCCGTCTGACATTTAACAGCTTGTTTTATTTGGATTTTGTTGGTGATGGTGGTGCTGGGGTCTCACTTGACCAAAGAAAAAAAACAAAAAAAACTGATCTGCAAGCCTGTGCGGTCATTCGGGTCTGGAAGGAGTTGGTTGGGCGAGGGGGGTTCTGCTGTGCGTCCTGACACGCTGGACTTGGGAGAACCGATTTATTTGCACCGGTTTCACAGCAACTATCTGTCTGTCCCCTCATTTGCAACCTCCCAGTGAGGTTTGTCGGACTTTTATTTTATTTTTTATTTTTATTTTATCTCAGGAGAAAGGAGCTTATTGGGGTTTTTTGGTCAAAAACCCCCCACGGCAGTCTGCGGCTCCGTGCTGAATCCACGGGAGCGCACGGAGAACCAGAGCAGTGACAGCCGGACATTGTTACACCCGACCGGACCCACCACCAACCAGTCCACCTCCCCTCCGGGGGAATCCGCTTCCGATCGACTCCAAAAAGTGAAAGGCGCAAGTTTCAAAAGCCTGGAATATACGACTCAATGAGACGCGCAGGACGCAGGACCAAATAGCGCATATACAGACACAGACCTGCAAAATGTTCAAACGGGGTAAGTCTCAAGTTTTGCTCCAGATTCAGTCTCTCCCCCTGCAGGGTGTTGAGATGATCCCCCCAACTCCCCATCCATACACACACACACACACACACACACACACACACACACACACACACACACACACACACACACACACACACACACACCCTCCTCTCTGCGTGTTCTGTTTTGGTGTAATGCGTCCACTGCTTGCGCTCCTCCCGGTCACAACCAGATGTTTAAAATTAAGACCCGTTCATCATGAGGCACCGCCGTGCCCTGCAGATTGTGTCGTTGCGAACGTTGCGCCATTTGAGGCGCGTCTTCAATTTGCACAACAGGCTCCGTAGGTCTGTGGGAATTAAATATTCATCTGCGCAGGATACACTGGGATGCACTGTGTGATATTAATACAACTGATGCCGCACTGCAGTTTATGAGTTATGCACGGGTCACAAAGCTATTTCAACCAGCGTGTTCTACTCTCTCTGATTTTTGCTATATCTTGCGGGGAATAATCGCAATTTTGTGTTTTCGATCTCATGAAAAAAAAGAAGAACTTTTAATATCCATATCCTCCTGATAGATTCACACGAGACCCCACTCTTAGTGGTTGGCTTTTTTTTTGTCCCGAGAAGTGTCTCTTTCATTCTGTGCTTTAATTGGCCATATGAGCTGCATAACTGTCTCCTCAGTAGGAAGAGTAAAAAAGCTCTAATGAGAATGAATTACAGTACTACATGCCCCCACTGCGCAATTATTAGGGGGTTGAAATAATAGCGAAATTAAACTGTTTCTCATTTTTGCTGCGTCTTCTTGATACCCCTAGGGGGGGTGGAAACCTGGAGATATCAAGAATCCACTTCAGCAGCCATTGCATTTGGTCTTTCTAATGTTCAATATGCAGAGTAACCTGCTCCTTTGTTGCGTTTTATAAAATATATATTAGATTAAAGCTGCATACACCAGTAAAACCATCAGAAATGCCTTTTAAAGTGCCTTGAAACTACTAAACCTGAACATGTTTGTATGATAGAGCAGGTGATGCATCCTTTTTTTCTTTTTTTAACTGGATCTTAGTAGTTAAAATGTGAAAAGTGTGGCATACCATTGTGTTTAGTCTGTCTAAGTCCATTACAGCTGCAAGAAATTTGAGTATCGTCAGACACCGAAACTTTTGCCCATTATTCTTTGGAAAACAGCAGAAGTTCAGTCACATTTGATGGAGAGCATCAGCAAAGAGCAATTTTCAAGTCTACCTACAGGTTCTCCATTGGATTCAAGTCTGTCTGGAAGAGTTCATAAACATGTTTGTAAGATGAATGTCGGTCACAGTTTGAAGTATTTTTGCAGCCTTGAACAGATTTTCCTCCAGGACTGATCTGTTTTCTAGGACCCTGTTGGAAAAAAAAGCATCTCCACAGCATTATACTGCCATCACTTTTCACCACATGGAAAAGTGATGGCAAGAGCTAAGAGCAGTTTGGTTATTCAAACTGCTCTTAGCACTTTGAATAACCAAAAAAAACAACAACAACAAAAAAAAAAACAATAACATTTTGCTCTCAATCAGACCACAGAACATTCCTTAGGGTGTTTTTACATTCGATCGTTCAGTAGACTCGGCTCGATTGGGGTCTGGATTTGCAACATTTGTTACGTTTTCAGCTGATGCGGTTTGGTTTCACACTCCAATGTGTCAAATGATCCAAACTGAAAATTCTGTTCTCCCCCTCGCCTGTGGTGGCGCTGCACCAAGAACCACTAAATAAAACAACAAGAAAACCTCTGAAGAAGACACTGAGCTCAACTTCCTTCTTCTCAAAATGTAAACAAAAAGATTTCAGCAGTCTGAAATCTCTTGTTTTTGGTAAAAGACAAGAGAACATGTGTGCGCAAGACTGTTTTGGAAGTATTTACCCAGAATGCCCTAAGATATATAGCCCGCTTCCTGCTTTTGGAGCGGTTTCTCCACTTGGCATTCACGTACGCATTCGAACCAGGCGGGAGTTCAGTTCAACTGAATTGATATCGAGGATTTTAGGTCAAACCAGAGTTTACTTTTCCTTGGTCCACATCAGAGTTTGATTACACATACCTCCCAAAGTGAACTGGACTTTCTAGGCAAACAAACCAGAGTTTAATTAAAGCAGACCAAACAGGGCGGGTGTGAATGCACCCTTGCATGTTTACTGGCTTTCAATCTGCAACTGGGACTCCATATCCCTTTCTTTAAACAATGGCTTTCTTCAAACCATTCATCCATAAAGAGCATATTTGTGGAGTCCATAACTAATAGCTTATAGCTTATTAACAGATTCGTCCATCTGAGCTGTGGACCTCTAAAGCTTTTCTAGAGTTATTAGCATCTGCTTGTCTGCAACTCATTGGCAATCTCCTTGCCTTACTTGTTGGTATAGGTGGGCAGCAACGTTTTGATTGGCAAGTAGTGGCGGCAAAAGCATTTCTTTTTTTGTATGATGGATTAATCAGTGCTGATGATCAACTATGAGATGTTCAAAGATTGTTATATTGTTGGTTGGTTGGTTGGTTGGTTGGTTGGTTGGTTGGATGGATGGATGGATGGATGGATGGATGGATGGATGGATGGATGGATGGATGGATGGATGGATGGATGGATGGATGGATTCAGGCATAAAGAGGCCTGAACACTTTCTGCACTCATGACACACTTTTAGGATTTTCATTTGCAAAACAAAATTAAGAATTTGCTTCATTTCCCTTTTGTTTCACAGATAGGCACTACCTTGTGCTGAGCTCTCACCTTCAATCAAAATAAAATCGAGTAAAGTTCACGGCTGACAAAATGTAAAAAAAGAAAAGAAAAGAAAAGAAAAGAAAAGAAAAGAAAAAATGGTAAACTGGTGTAATTACCTTTGCAAGGCTGAAAGATACACCTTCAGCATAGTTCCCATGAACTATGGTGTTTGTATTTATTCAGGGTCTCCGGTGACAGAAACTCTTCTGTTTGGATTGTGTTTGTTTTTGCCAAGTGCCTGCAGGGCGAGAGAAAACATGTTGGGTTTTTTCCCTCACTGCCATCAGATTGATTATTGTTGTTCCAACAGTTGTGATGAAGTACACCTTAGTGATGACTGCTTAAAGGAACGAGGTTATAATGCTGCTTTGTCAAAACTTCGTACGAGGCAAGGGAAGTATGAAAAATACCACAATTTCACAGTATCCGCGTATAAGCAATTACAAAAAATATACAAAATCTCAGTGTATAAAATGATCTAATTGGTTTCATTTATAAACAACTTGCAAAGCAGCTTCTCAGAAATAGTTTTAAAACAGGATTACCTTATTAGGAGTGATGGGCGGGGCTCCGTTTGGTTTCCACATCTTGACTATAAGAAATTTTAACGAATGGAAATATTTTCAACAGCTAACCTGAACATAGAAAATTAAACATTAATAAAGCAAAACACAATCAAATATTTGGTGTTTTTACGCAAAGATGTGAATATGTTTTGATTTAGTTTTTATTTCAAGCGGTTTGCCAGTCGTGTTTTGTTTGGGTGGGTATGAAAGCTCTTTCCTCACTCAGCTCCTCCAGACTAGTGGCAGCAGCAATTAGCAAACACCTGGTGGGACTACTCATCTGCTGAGCTCTTTATGCTAACTACTGCTCAGTCCTAAGAACACTTGTAAACAGCATAAAGGAGAAGCATTGTTAAAATTACATGCTGAAGGTGGAGTGTCAGAAAGAGTGGGAGAGGTGAGAAATTGTAATGTCAAACATTATGTTTGATGCAGCATTTTCATAGCAACTTAAGGTAACATATTTACTTAATTGTGCTACAAAATATGAACAATATGCCTGGAAAATACAAAATGCTGTCCCTTTAAGAAAATACCCTGACCCATTTCCTGTTTGATGAGCACCACTTGCACCGTGCATCAAAATGTGGGCAAGAATGGCCAAATGATTGAGAGAAAAAGAGAAAGTGAGTCAATGAGAGGAAATTTATGCTGTCATATGATTTTAAATCCTTGCGTTACATCATCGCACGCTGTGGTTTATTCCTCTCCGCTAAGTGCTAGATAGCTCTCTGCTTCATCCTTTGCTAGTCCTGGGAATCTTATAGTGCCCAAAATAAAGCTGCTGCTGTAAACTACGTTGCGTTTCACAGGCGACTTCGTCTGCACAGAAACACAATCAGGTCAGCCAGCTGGCCAGCAGTGAGCAGCAATGTGTGAAGAAGGAGGAGTGCTGGATTACTTCCTGTTATGTACAGCTTCACTGGGCACTGTCTCTCACATTTCACTGTTTATGAGGGAAAATGTTATTAGTTCTTCAACCATAGCTCGATATTATCAATCAATCAAGTTTATTTGTATAGCATGTTTCAGTAACAAGTGCTTTATGTCATAAAAACACAAAATTAAAACGTCATAAAAACAACATACAGTCACCAAATGAGAAACCAGTAACAAACATTACATTTTGTTGAGGGCCATCATCAAAATGATCAATACACATCAAATATATTGGTTAATGTTCCACATATTATGGTTCCAAAGCAACAGGTGGGTTTTCAGCCTTGATTTAGAGGAGCTCAGTGTTTCAGCTGTTTTGCAGTTTTCTGGAAGCTGTGGTGCATAGAAGCCGAATGCTGCCAATACCTTTTTTATCCTAAAGACGTTTTTTTTTTTTTTTTCCGGTGGTGGTTGTGGGTGGAAGAGGTGGGGAGTAAACGAGACTCACTTTCTGCATTCTCTTTAGAAGTCAACCGAGCACAGTACAATCTTTCCAGAAACAGAAAGGATAATAAGTGATCATCGGCTGAGATTATCTCTCAACGCACACATTTACTGGCGCGTTGATCAGTAAATAGAGAACAGACAGGTGGGGATCCAATTTGCATGCCTCATCCCTGCTCAGACCAAAGGGTTTTTTTTGTTTGTTTTGTTTTCGGGGTTTTTTGTATGTAAATCAGCTGCTTCACCCCCCACAAAACCCTCCCCCACCCCCACGCACAATCCAAGACGACTATACATCTCTTAATTCAAAAGCAGCGGATTCAAAGCGCTTGGTTTTCCAGCGCTCTGCCAAAATGTGTTCTGTATGCCAACGAGTCTGAGTCTACAACAGAGAGGCAGGGATGCGTCAGCGTTGGCAGGAACAGCGGAGAAAGTTCTCTGGTGAATTTGAATTTTTTTGCACCTGAAATAACACATCTTATGGGGAGCCAGGATGATGCATCATGAGCAGCAGCCGCTGTGAACCGATCCGCCATTCACAAACACATACGAGGAGAGCGTCATGCCGCAGCAGCCTTCCTTCCTTCCTAGGTCACGCCGAGCTGCACCTCCTTCTCTCTCGTTTTTTTTTTTTTTTTTTTTTTTTTTTTTAAAGAAAAAAAAAGGAGGTTTTTAAAAAACCCCCACTTTTTTTTA